TTTCCTAGGAAAACCACAGAAAATCAGAAGACCACAGAAAATCATGGATTTTCTAGGTGCTCCATTGATTTTCTAGGAAAAACTTACTCACTCTCACTTGTTTTCACCTTCAGCATTTTCTTCCTTTTCATGCTTTTCTCACTTTTGCCCTCCTCATCCTCGCTTTGTTCTCACTTTCTTTCTTTCTTTCTCACTTTCTTCTCACTTTTTTCTCACTTGATTGTACTTTATTGTCACTTTGTTCTCAAAAGAATGTTTCCAGCATCAACAGAGGGTCCGGAATTCATACGGCAAAAAGAAAAAGGTTAGACTGACCAGACGAAGTTACATAAAGCCAGGGGACCTTGGCAGGAACGGGCGTGGGTTTGGATATACTTCGTTGCGGGTGGCCTGCTCAAGCGCCACTGGCTTTACAGATGGTAGATCTCAAGTGACTCAGCCAATCGATTGTGAAACCAGGTCACTCAACTCGGATCGCCACTTCCGGTCTCTTTATGAAGGCCGCGAGCGCTTGCAGCCCTGCTGGCTCACGGCTCGCAACGCCTGTGCTTACTGATTTGCTGACCCCGGCCCCTACAAGCCTTTCTACAGCATAATATCGGGGAGCGAAAATGACTGAAAGCATTGTGTTCATGGTTCCGTATTTTCCAAATGGTATACTCAACCCAGTACCTCTCATGATCCATTTTCAGTTCTAGTAGTCCCTCATACGCCCCATCATCCTTACTTTCAAATAAAGTCCATTTCATAATTGGAAAGGCGGACCCTCGCCCTCCCCCCCGAGATGCAAGGCCCAGGATCTGTTATTGGGCGTATGTTGAGGCATCGTCATCGTGNNGTACTGGCGGAGGCAGTTGAGACGAACCGTGCCTCACAACATTTTGTCATTTTCACATCACCTTGGCCGCCTCGGATTTTGCAATTATGGGGGGGGGGGGGTTACTAATTGCGTTCTGGGACTTGGATTTTGCAATTACGCGGGGGTTTTGCTAACCTAAGGTCGACATTATTTGTCACCTTACAATCCTTATGTTGACTTCCCTTATGGTCATAATGGTCCCATCCGACTCAATTTTGTTGCCTGATGCCCCTTCTCCATTCATCTCCAATCGCACTCTGACACTTCACATTGGGCGGAGGCTTTCATCGAGGCCTTGGCATGGTGCCCTGCAGGCCAGAACTTGGTGCAATGGGCGTAGAATCTAGAAGCACAAGTGTAGACACTACAGGCGCAGGGATTATTGGGGTTGCATATTTTTTAAGCATTTTGTAGAACAGTTGTATCATGCAGGACACTGAGCATCAACTTGAGGAAGTCATAGATGTTCATTAAAACATTTCTGGTGCCCTTGTTTTGTGCAGTTCTGTTGGGTTGGCTGAGCAGTGTTCAGATTGCCTGATGCTTCACCCAGGCTGTTGTATCGTTTGGTCTTCCCTTACTTGGAAGCATCTCGGCATGACGTACGAAACTTGCATGTGTTGGCAGAGCACCAGTCGCAGGTAGCTGCTTTGCGTAAGGGATTTGCAAGGTGAACCAGATTTTGCATCTTCGCCTCGTGAGGCAATGTGAGGTGCGACAGGCATTGCAAGGTGTTGAAACGAATCAGCCGGTTTCTTGCTGGCAAGGCAGATGACATTTGTGTCGAGCTTTATCGAGGAGGCCGTCTTTTTTGGTAGAGTGATTTTGGCCTCTGAATTGGCTTGCTATGCATGTTGGCGCTTTGCGCGTTGTTTGCTCGCACCAAGACGCCAAACATGGTGGAAGTGGAAGTTTGGATTTTCTTCACCCCAGACTTGATGCATGGGAGACACTCCTGCACACAAGACAGAAATCGTCTGGGCGCGCACACCGGCATCTGGTTGAGATGTCTATTCGATTTTGTTCAGTCGGATTTTCCCATACAAGTCCGCACGGTGCAATCCGGATTCGTTTCGAAATTTGTTTCTTCGAGGAGTGTGCAAGATTGGATGAATGATCATACTGCATGGAAGGCATTGTAAGGGATCAGGCGTTCAAATGCCCCTTTGCTCTGCTCATGGAGGCTGGGCTCATTGGAGCTGATGGCCAGTCAAAGTTGAAAGAGCTGTCAAGGCCGTGCTTTCTTGTTGTAACTACCAGCGTGATGAGCGTAGCTACGAGTTGAGTCTCGTAAGTAGGCAATGTCGAGTTCCCCGATTCCGGTGCCTCCCCGCATTATGGAAACCGTGGCATTGCAACTGGGATGCTTTTATGGCATCGTCTTCACTGTTTGCCCACACGTCATGAACTAGATGCATTCGCTCTGTTTTGAGGCATCAGATCCTTGGCTGCCCACCCGAAGTGGTTCCAGCATGCTTCGACACCGCTAATTGCCTTGGTGGATGCTGCTGCAATTGTAGCACCTCATGGCCAACTGAATTCCCGCCGGCTCTTGTCGCAATTGGCGATACATGGATGTCCCCGCTTGAAAGGAATACTGGTGCCAACAATTTTCGCCAGAACATTCAGCACCAAGTTGGCAAATCTTCTCTGCACCGTGGAGGTCTCATGAGGTCTCCACAGAGCGCTCGTTTGCGAAATGGTCGGGTGCAGTGGAGTAACTGAGCGCTCATGGCTCATGCCGCTGAAAAAGCTGCTCCAACCTGGGATGAGTGTGCATTTTTATGCGGGGGCACTTGCGCAAATGGAGGAGATGTCGAGGACAAGCCGCAATGCTGCTCAAGATTATCCATTGTTTGCGATGGTCCTGGCCCTGCGAGCGTCGGAGGTCAGAGACGGAGACTTGAAGGCAAAAATTGACGGCCTATTGTGGATTCACCTGGCGGCGCTGA